TTTTTGCCTCAACTGCCACCACACCAGGTTGGGGTTCCAATAAAATGGCTGACATAACACACATAAGGTGTAGAACTAACTCCACGAATGTCAGGTCCATCCTCTTCCCTTGGGGGCGGTGGGTAAAGAGAGAGATATCCTGTTTCGGGGAAAGGCTCCAGGCCCTCAGCATCCTCCTCCGAAAGAGGCAAACCAGCAAGAGGATGCTGACAACATTTTAAAATGACTCAATATAGTTTTAATAATAATAAATATTATATTTAATATTTTATATTTAATATTATATATATTTAATAAATATATTCCCATTAAGTCATCTTATTTTTAAATTATGTATAGAGAACATAAAGCACAATTCAAAATACACAAGTCAAATGTTTTATATCCTCCATACTTAAACACCAAACATGTCTGTATGTCTCAAGCATTTGTTGTGAATAAGCAAAGAAGAGAGCTAGGTCTAAGAACATGTTTTCATCTATAAAATGAGGTTGGGATAGATGAAAAACATGAACTTTAGCCTAAAAATTATATGATTTTAAGATGCAGAGAATGAGGGAAATAATACAATGACTGATGTCTATCCACCAGAAGACAGAGAGTCAGATAGATAAATGTATCGAAATATCTTAACGGCATGACTACGTGGTGTTGTCATCATATAATATTGCTAACGACTAAAGTTACATTGGCTTTACAAACTCTGGGCATAGGGACAGAGTGTCATCACTTCCTCCACAGAAAAAGAAACTGGTTTGGGGCTGCATGTCACCCAGTACTGCTGTGGTTACACAGCAGACGGCAATGGGGGATGGGGTGTGATAATACCGCCACTTACTATCTGGAATCCATTTGTTTTTATCTGATTATAGATACAATCCATAAACATTAATGATGCAATTATAAAACTTTTGAGCATAGACATGCCTTTAATAGAAACAGGATTCAAAATAAGCCTATGAAGTCTCAGGTTTATCCCCTTCTCTACTTCTCGGAAATTGGCAAATTGTTAATCATTATCACAAGCCCAGCAGTACTTATTTAAAATGCAGATTCCACAGCCCACCCTCCCCCCATCCCCAAATCTACTGAATCAGAATCTCTGGGCCTGGGACCCGAGATTGGACATTTTGATAAGTTACCCAAGCAGATTCCTAAGCATACAAAATTGATGGTCACTCAAACTAACACAGGATAGATCAGCAATAAAGGGAGGTGTGTGCTTTCAATAATAAAATTAACACATTAAAATGAGTCAAAGATAAAGCTTTGTGGCCTGGCACGGTGGCTCACGCCTGTAATCCTAGCATTCTGGGAGGATCGCTCGAGGTCAGGAGTTAAAGACCAGCCTGAGCAAGAGCGAGACCCCGTCTCTACTAAAAATAGAAAGAAATTAGCTGGACAATGGAAAATATATAAAAAAATTAGCCAAGCATGGTGGTGCATGCCTGTAGTCCCAGCTACTCTGTAGGCTGAGGCAGGAGGATAAGTTTGAGGTTGCTGTGAGCTAGGCACTCTAGCCCGGGTAACAGAGTGAGACTCTGTCTCAAAAAAAAAAAAAAAAGATAAACCTTTGTGTGTAGATGCACATTATATACAAATTTAATATCTATGCAAGGTTGTGAGGAGAAGGGAACTGACATTTATTAATTGCCTACTATGGTATAGATCCTGACCACATGATATATTACTCAATCTTCAAAATAATCCTATATGAGTTATGGATGGAAAAAGTTAGGCATAGAGAGACAGTAACTTTTCTAAAGTCACAAGTCTGGAAAATGGCTCAGGTAGGTTGTGAAACTAGATTTATCTGACCCCAGTCTCCTCATTCCGTTGTACTAAGCTCATAAGCACGTGAAAACATGCAGACACATGTACGTCATACAATAGCCATATGGTAAAAGGCAATGGAATTACTTTTAGAAACTTTTTGTATCAACAGTTTTTAAAGGACTATTAAGAGATATTCTTTGGTCTGCTGACAACGGAATATAGAATATGACTACCATCAAACCCACATTTAACGGCCTGAATTTTAGTAATCGAAATGTGTTTGGGGGCTTGCTAGGGTTAAATTTAACAGCGATTCTTGATTTGTGAAAGCTATAAATTTATGCAAATGGCACCACTTAATATTCATTCTGCAAGTCACATTACTTTACGAAGGAAAACAAATGTGTAATCTAGCACTTGTCAATCCAATGGTCTTCCAAAATTCATCCCTCCCCTTCCAGGCTCTGACATGCCTGGCTCCCTCCATTGGGAAACCCCTTCTGCTGACTTCTGGAGTCATGTCCTCCCTGGTTCTTCCTTGCTATCTTGCCAGACTTCTCTCTGCCTTCCTAGGTCCTCCTTTCTTTTCTCAAAAGGCTCCATCCTCAACCTTTTTCTCCCTAGACTTTCCCTCTGGAAAATCTCTTCTCCCACCTCTTGACTTTTTCTTATATACCAATGTCCCCCAAACTAGCCCTGGCCTTCCTGTGGCATGCAAAGCCCCCATCTGTGTGGGAGACAGCATGCTTCAACACTTCAAACTCAGCATCTCTCAAATGCAGCTCCTCACCTTTTTCCAAGTTTCCTCCATGGGTACCACTGCTCTGGAAATTTCAGTGCCAGCTTTAGCTGTTCCTTCTCCACTGAGACATCAGTGTCTGTCAGGTCCTCCCTTTGCATCTGTTCCTTTATCATTTCACTGTTACCATCCATTTCAGGCCTTCCCCCAGCCCCACCCCTGCCACCCCACCTTTTCCTTGGTGAACTGTAGTAGCCTTCTATCTGGTCTCCCTGCCTCTAGTTTCTGCTCCGCCTCCCTCCCAGTCTCACCCGGGCTCCTCACAGAGCATGTGCCAAAAGTACAGCCACAACACTCCCCTGTTCAAATATCTTTAATGACATCTATTGGCTCATACATTCAAATTTCCTAGCTGTCATTCAAGACCATTATCATTCAGCACTGAATGTTCTCCAGCTTGATTTCCCACCTGGTGCCTGTATGGATCAGTTCTGGCTCCGCTGGGCTCAGCACTGAGTATGCTCCACGCTTTCTCCATCTCCCACTATTCCTCCTACCTCAAATGCCTCCTCCCATATCTTTTATTGAAACTCCACATCATTAAAGGACTGGTATAAAAGTTTTTTCTCAAGAAAGTCTCTTGACCCTAGGGGTAAAACAGACCTCTTCCTCTTCCAATTACCCAAATATCTTCTTTTTGCATTTACCAATGGTTATTTCTGTATATTTTATTTCTTTGTCTACATAACAGGATCTGAAAGGGAAGGGACCAGATTTTGTTGCTGCTGAATTCTCCACTCTCTCTAGCACAGTGTCATACTCATAGTAGGTACTCAAATATTTGGCGTATATTTATAGAACTCAAAGTTTACAAAGCATGTGTTTTATTTGGGGATTAAATTATTATAAGTAGCATTCAAGTATTGCAATCTGATTTCTGTTGCTTAATGCAATTCTTGGAGCTAACTTTCCACCTTATACACTAAACAAAACCATTTCTTAAGTTGCTTTACTTTTGAACATCCACAGATGGTCCTCTGTGGCCTATAAAGCTAAAACGGGAGAACATTTCAAATCAAAGAAAGCCCCCTTGCCAAACTGCTTTTTCTCTGATTATGGGTTCAGTGTCCCCAAAAAAGGCCTCTATGAGCAGGTAACAGTAATGGCAAAATCAAAATTTAAAAGAGAAGTGAGAAATTCCTTTCTAAAGGGTTTCAGAGTTTTAAAATGGCCTTCCTATATACCCACTTCCTACATAGGGGTCAATCTCCAACATCCTTGGAGCTGAAATCCCAGCATATTAAAAATAGAAAACTGCTAACAGTTAAACAACTAATTCTTTGCCAAGAGACTGGACATGGCTAATATCATGATTGTAAAAACAATCTGTTTGGTCTTAAGCTCCCAAATGCCTTGTAGAAGGAGCTCAATAAATATTTGTTGATGAAAAAAATGAATTCAGAGAAGGTCTTACTATTGTTTATAAATTGAAAGCGTAAATTTTAATAGATGGATGGAGGTATACGTTAAAGTGGAAAAAAATGAAATAGTGAATTGAGAGACAAGAACTTCGGTATGTCCATCACTCTGGTCCGTTCCTGCGGCAGAGCACACCCTGTAACCGCTGCAGCAGATTGAGGGGAGTGGTGCACGGCAGGCATCGTCCATCTGACCAGCCTCTTTGGATTAGGTCGCAGGCTCCTCCAGGGTGGGCACTGTGCCGCCCTAGCGTGGTGCTCTGCATACAGAATGTACTCCATAAAAGTAGTATGGGATGCAAAGCCTTCCAGATCTGTCTGTTTCCACATTTTAATACTTCACACCTATTCTTCCTCACCTCATAGGGATCTAGTGAAGAGTAAATAAAAATACTGCGCTTAAAGCCCTTCACACATTGCTTAGCACACACGCACGCAAATTCTCGATAAATGGTAGTTGCTCTTGTCCCCATCTGGGGCTTTGTACATGCCTCTAAGGTGGAGCTTAGCGCACTGTGCTGGGCTGTCAGTACTTGTCTACAAGAACCTCGAATGTCACAGCGTGGGTTCTTCACTCCGTGCCCAGCAAGGTCCTCACCCAACAGGAGGCTCTGAAGCTACCTACATGACAAGCAACAAAGATCCAAGTTCCAGTCCTGCCTTCACCCCAACCCAGTGGGTAACCCTTAGAGGTCATTTAAACTCTCTGGGCCTCAGTGATGCCGGTGGGTCCTTCTGGCCTAGAGATCTATGAGGAGACATCGAGAAGCTCCCAGGACAGTTGCTGGCAGAACTGGAAGGAGAAATCAGTTGTCCTAAAGCCCTGTTCACCTAGTTCCCCTTCATCACAGGGGCCTCGCACATCGTGTCTCCTTATAACAGATCACTTGAGTGTCACCGTCACTTTGTAATCCCAAAACCTGTCATGAATCATATCCCTTTGGGAGTCCTTCAGAAAAACCACTTCCTCTTTCATGTAGACTAAGGACAGATGTAAATTTAGTTACCTCAGTTAGAACAGACCAGCCTTAACAGAGTTATTTTCCCGTGCTTTGGAAGAAATCACTTGGAAATCCTTGGTTCTGCATCCTCCATCTCCTCCACATCAAGATCTAAAAAGAGAAAAAAGAAAAGTGCAGTGTCCCATGACTAGCTGCTTGGATTTGATGTTTCAGCAATTGCAATTAGCATATACTGAACACCTACCATAAGTCAAGCGCACTGCACAAAGTGATTGGCTTATATGGCTTCATGTAATCTTCATAACACCCCTCAGCTGTAGGGAACATTCCCCCATTTTACAGCTACAGAAACAAAGACTCTGAGAAGTCACGGAACCTGTTCAAGGTCACACAGATGGTTTAAATGAGAGCCGGGACTCAAACCCAGATTCAAATGATTCCAAAGCCTGGGCATCAGGCTTTCAAAAACTTTTTTGACAGTGACCCACTGTTTAAAAAAAAATTTTTTTTTTGGACACATTCTACAGCAGAAATAAAAAATTACGTTATATAAACTGAAACCCAAAAGTCTTATAAAACAATGCTTACCCTTACTGTTTGCAATGCACATTTCTTATTCTTCTCTGTACTGTACTATATATTCTACATCTTTTAAAAAAATTTCCCAGTAGCAACCCATTAAACTGATTCCACAATCTTCTAATAGGTTTCTACTCTTGGAAAAACACTGCGCTTAGATACAGTACATAGCTAGCAGTTTCTCTGAAACCACAACAAAACCCTTCTGTACTTTTTAATCATGAGAATCTGACCGAGTAGTTGAGCTTCATAGTTAGGAGAAAAGTCTTTAACCTTTAAAATATGTATAAGGCACGTAACACATATCTTCTATAATGGATCCTTACAAGGGATACCCCATTAGGGCCAACGTCCAGAATGGAATTAGGCACTTACCTATAGCAGAGCAGGAGTTAAGATGTAGAACCGCGGACAGACTAAAATCTCAAGTGATTTATTATGTACTCTGCAAAGAAGTGGCTACCAGCGGGCGGTTGTGTTTTACCAACAGTGCAGACCTATCTACGGCAGAAGTAGGAGGCTGAGATTGCAAACCCCTTGGGGCAGGGCCCTGCCTTTGCACGTCCCGTTCAATTCAAGGGGCTTGGTGTTGCACCAAGGAAATTATCACGTACACGTAGGGTCAGGACTGGGGTTCGATTCCCAATCCCAGGACTGGGAAGTGCGATTGTCAACGCAGTTCCTGAGCCTGCTGGACCTGAGCCCACCACGTCCCCAGCCCAGGGTGCGTATTTCTTCCCCGGCCCTCGCCCTGCAGCACAGCCGTGCAGTTGGGCCACTAGACGCGGCGCAACCTGCCCAGACTCTGCAGCAGAACCCCACCCCCTCCCCATTCAGGTCGCCGGACCCGGAGTGCGGGCACCTGCGGGCGCTTGCTCCCTGCAGCAGCTGTGCTTCCCAGCGCTTGCGGAGCTCACAGCCCTGCGAGAGTGTTTCCCCAGCCCAGTTTCCAGGCTCCCTCCTGGGGAGAGGAGCGGCCCGGCCCCGCGCCTGCAGGCCGCGCCTCGCCCACCCGGCCCGGAGCAAGACCCTGCGAAGGGCACTTACAGGGCTCGGCTCCGCCGGCGCGTTTCCCCGGGGGTCCATGGCGCTTCCGGACCCGTGAGTCCGACCGCAGCGCAGCACCGCCCAGAAAATGGACGCCGGCGGCTCGGCTCTGCCGGCCCGGCCCGCCCCCGGCGCGGGCAGAGGACGCAGCCCGTCCGGGAAGAGGTCGGCCCGACCCTCAGCCCCGCGGGCCGGGGACCGGGGGAAACGCTGTGCCTAGGACAAGGCCCCGGGAGGGCGGCGGGGGACCCGCGACGGCCTAGCGAGGCCGCAGGCCCACAGGGGACAGCGGCCTCATCCTCCTCCCGGAGGACAACGTAGTTAGAGCTGCAGAGCCACAAAGCCTAGTGACTGTCAGTACAAGGCCCTGGTCCGCAGAAGGGTCCCCGAGCTCCCGATCCAGACCACGCACACTTAAGAGAGACAGGATTCGGAGGAAATCCTGTGCGGTTTCAGTTGCATCAAATTCTCAGGAATAGAGTGTCACCTGTATTTTCCCAAGGCTGTCGAGAGGCCCCGATTTTTCCGACGTGATATAGAAGCTATTTCATGCAAAAGACCCAGTCCTCTTCCTTAAAGGGCCCTGAGGGATCCCGCTGGGATCCAGGGCCTGCTCGTTGAAAAGATATTTGCTGAGGGCCTGCCCCAAACTTGCCTAGTGGAGCTAACAGCCTAGTGCACTCACGTACAGGTGTTTGTTTTTAAAAAATTATCCAAGTTCTGTGTGTTTTGATAGTATTGAGTCTTAATTTAAATTTTTCTTTAGAAAATTTTCTCCCCGAAGCTACAAATTAAAAGAATTAAAAAGTCTGTTCTTTGCATGATTTACATCCTGTTTTCAGCCTGGAATACAGTGCTTGCAATTCTGCATCCCAGTTCCTGACCACGTTTTAAGAATATGACCATTTTTTTTTTTTTCGAGACAGAGTCTGTCTCTGTTGCCCTGGCTAGAGTGCCGTGGCGTCAGCCTAGCTCACAGCAACCTCAAATTCCTGGGCTCAAGCAATCCTTCTGCCACAGCCTCCGCCACCGTGCCCGGCTAATTTTTTTTTTCTATTTTTAGTTGTCCAGATCATTTCTTTCTATTTTTAGTAGAGACGGGGGTCTCGCTCTTGCTCAGGCTGGTCTCGAACTCCTGACCTTGAGCGATCCACCCGCGTCGGCCTCCCAGAGTGCTAGGATTACAGGCGTGAGCCACCGCACTTGGCCAAGAATATGACCATTTTGATGAATAAAGTAGATTCCAGTATTAAATACAACGCTAGTAAAACATTTTAAACAATCAAGGAAAAATATATTGACTGTATGTCAAATTAAAGAATCACGTAACTTAAAGGCAGAGTTTTGAAGGCTGACAGTTTGGGCAATGTGTATACACATGTGCACTAGCAGCTCTCAACCTCCTCAACGCCAAGCACCCTTTATACTCTCTCCATAGGCCACGTGTTCAGAAAGATCTTCTCCATTAAATTGCATTTATTAAGTAATGATTCATCTTCCCACTTAAAAAACAAAAACTTGCAATGTTTTTAGATATGCAACTGCCAACCAGAGCTTCCTCAAAACCTGAGCTAACCTGTTGTTAATAGTGGATTCCAATCCAAAGAAACTTGTGGTTTAATTGCCTGTTTGTCTGTTTCCATTGAGGTTTTTAGAAACTCTGAAAATTATTCAAAGACCTCCAAGAAAACTGAGGAGCATGGATTAGGAACCAGAGTTGGGAAGTGCCAGGATTCAGCGTTGCTTTCTGTGCTTCCCTGCCACTGGAAGGTGCCAGGCGCAGGGCAAGGCAATTTGGCCTTTGGATTCAGCCTGCCTGGGTTTAAAGCCCAGCTGTGTTGCTTGCAAGGCCACTTTAGGCAAGTTACTTAACCTCTCTGGGCCTTGGCTTCCTTTTCTATAAAATGGGACTAATTTATTATTAGTGCCTACCTTGTAGGGCTTTTTGAGAATTAAATGAGATAATGCATGTGAAGCATTTACAATAGTACCTGGCACATAGTAAGCGCTCTATAATTGTGGCTTTTGTGGCTGTTGTTAGTACTGGAAGTTAAGTATTCAGAGTTCTAAGTTCCTACCATCCAAGCGGTAAGAATCATAGCTACTGTGTGTAAAATAACCTTTACACCCTAGAAATTTTCCATGGGTAATCTGCTAGGGTCACATGGTGAGTGACATAAAGGGATTTAAACACAGGTCTGACTCTCCAGTCCACTTTTTTGTACTGCTAACATGTTCCAGGTGGTACCTTGATCAGACGCTGTCAACAGCTTGTTAAGAGTAAAACCAGCTCTGGCTTCCCTAAGAGGCTTAGCAAGTGAATGGCTCCTTACATCCACTTGGGAATTCACAAACAGTGGCATTTCTCTCATTAGAGCCAAATGTTTCTCCAGGAGTGAGCAGATTTCCCCAAATTGTTATTAATAACTAAAATATCACGGCAACAGTTTTAAACACCACAGTCTAAAACTTACATAATCAGCCTGTCCTTCAAAATTTTCCATCTTTCCTCATAACGAGTAGCAGATTCTCTCTCTTAATCATTCTTCTGAGTATGGGGAATGATCTGGAAATTTCCAGGAATGTCCCAACTTGTCATAATTATAGTCTTTTCTGTAAAGATTTATTATTTTCAAAACAACTAATGTATTTTCTCTATAATACTCATCATTTCAATACATTTGCAAATCAAAATATAAATCCCAAGACTTTCAAGATTTTCTTTCTTAAATTTCCACCAGTTCTTCAACATCTCAACAGCATGGTTCCTATGGTTCCTAATCCTTTTCCAGGGGCCTTTTCTAGAAGGCTTTCCTACCTTATTCATTTGCTCCCCACACAGATTTCTGTTGTGCTACAACTGCCTGCTTGTACTTTCTGGTTAGGACAATTGACCAATTTAACATTTACTGTCCCCTTTTCTTTCTTTTTGAGGTTTCAATATTACGATAATATTATATAAAAAGACTGAAGTGTTGTCTCTCTCTCTCCCTTTTTTTTTTGTTGCCCAGGCTGGAGTGCGGTGGTACGATCATAGCTCACTTCCTGGGCTCAAGCGATCCTCCTAGCTCACCTACGACTACAGGTGCCCATCACCATGCCCGGATAATTTTTAAATTTTGTTGTGGAGACAAAGTCTGCCTGTTGCCCAGGCTGGTCTCAAACTCCTGGCCTCGAGGCAATCCTTCCACTTTAGCCTCCCAAAGTAGTGGGATTAGAGGTGTAAGCCACCATACCCAGCCCTGTGTTGCCTCTTTTAAACCCACTTGCTTCCCTTGTTCCCACCGTAGGTTAGGAATCTGTAACTCGTCCCCCCTCCCTTGCAGCACTCTGTTAATTTCATTTATAGTTTTACTTTTATCCTCTTTCCTTCATCCTTGGTTCTCACCAAATGCTATCGCTTGGCATCTCCTAATTACAGCTGCTTATCTGTTTGCTGTCAAGCATTTTAGGGAAGTCCTTTTCCAAATCATTTTCTCTCATCTCCACATTCCTGAAAGGCCACTTGTGTGTGATGTTGTACT